GTCGAGAGGGTGGATTCAGGGGTTGCTGTTAATTCTGCGGACACTGTGGAAGTTGTAACTTTAGATGTACCTACGTCAGTCATCCCATCTACCGAGGTTGTAGGTTCTGCCACTCCAGTAGATTTCTCTGTCGGAACTGTAGATTTGATTGTAGTAGTTGATTCAGTTATGTTCTCTATCGATGTTAAGGATTCATTGGTAGTTGGTTCAGTTGCCTTCTCTGACGAATGAGTAGATTCAGTTGTAGCTATTTCTGTGTTCCTCTCTGTTAAAATTGTAGCTGTCGATTCAGTTGCGCTCTCTGTAGATGATGAAGATTCCTTTGTTACTGTTGCACGTGTCGTCTCTAGTGAGATTGTAGGTTCAGCTGTAACTGTTTTGGTTGTACTCTCTGCCAAGACTTCGTTAGTTCCGGCTGATGATTTAGATATCCTATCTGTCGATGTTGCAGGTTCAGTGGAAGATGCAGAATCAGTTGCCCTTTTTGTCGATATCAAAAGTTCAGTTGATGATTTTTCAGTTGAAGTTGTGGGTTCATTTGTAACTCTTTTACTTGTCACTTCTATTGAGGCTGAAGGTTCATCTGTAACTGCTTCAGTCGTACTTCCTGTCAAGGCAGTAGATATAGTTAAAGGCGATGGTTGACTAGTCCTCTCTGTGGAGAGTGAAGAAGATTCAGTTTTATCTGCTGATTTAGTTGTTCTCTCTGTAAGTTCAGTTACTTCAGTTGATTCGGGTTTTAGCTTTGTCGAAATTGTTAGTTCAGTGGTTCTTATTGTAGATGTTGTAGGTTCTGTTGCAGTTGTTTTGTTTGTCCTCTCTGTTAAAGTTGTATATGCTGCATTTGTTTTCTCTGTTGAAGTTGCAGGTATTGTGGATTTAGATTCCGTTGTATGTTCCGCTGTGACGGTTGGTTCTGTTGCATTTGTATAGCTTTAGTATTGAATATCTTATATGATAATAGATAATAATAATATATTGGCATTCAGACCAGTTACTCTAGTCTCGAAACAAGCATGTGATTAAAGTGCTATTTATTTTTCTATTACCTAATGCAGTTTATTTGATTAAATAATGTCGGCAGTAGCTTTTACATAAACTGCATCATTGTTTAACCTGATCCAGTCAATCAAGTAAACATTTATAATTCATTCATGTATACTTGGATTGGTATGAGGGAAGGTGAGGGTTTCATGTTTCGTGAACTGGCGGTCGACAATGAACATGCTAAGGGTTTGTTTGTAATACATGGCAGTTATCCCTACTTCCACTTACATATTCATTCATCCCTGAGCTTGACATATATGACTTATCATGGGGATTATGTACATGAGAAAATAATATAATTCGATGATAATACCGTATTTCTCTAAATAGGAAAAAAACTACATTTAGAATAACATAAAGATTAACTCGTCCATGTCTGATCGAAAAGTGCAGACCTACACTCACCTAATGCCCCTCACAGTTCCGCAAATAAGCTTGTGAGAGTTAGAACTCTCTAGTGAATTGGCGTGGTCAGAAAGTTCTCTGTTTAAACAGTTACTGTTATGCTTTACTTTTTCGCCGAAAATAGTCAGACATTTTGCGACAGATTAACCCAATGCCGCCGGAAAAAAGTGAATAAAGATGGGGAAAATACTGTGGTAATTTTATATAGTTTTGTGAAATGCCCCTGCACATAGATGGCTCTGCTAGTGCTTAGCTACAAAGGAGTCAATTAGTAGACCTTGTAATCTTACCTGATTTCACCTTTCCTTGAATTGGCGGGAAAAACGTATTTTTTTACTAATGCTATAAATATCAGTGGTGTTATTTTTATTATAAACATTATAATTGCTAAAATATTATAACTATTAGTAACAGCAAAATAAGATAACGTAAAATAGTTTCGTAAATCATTGAAAAGTGAGAATTGGCGAGACAGGCAGTACTCATAAGTGGCTCATTGGTGACTTAGTACAAGTGTAGCCATCTATGTGTAATAGCAATTAAACAAGTAAACTCACAGCTGGCAAAGGGTTAAGGTCTGTATCCCTATTTCTTTATTATCGCCATGGTCCCATATCCCTAGTCATCTTTCCAACGCCAGCATATGCGACAGACCTTAATGTTAAATCATTAGTACGCATTTACCAGGGTTTCAAACAGGTTTATATATAATATAACTTATATATCCACTATAAAATAACAATGTTAATTTTAAGTAACACATCCCAACGAATTTGGTAACAATATAAAAATAATAATTTTTGATGGTTGTTTAGTAAGCCGTAGTCACACATGTACTTGTTATTTGCAACCGATCGGAATATAGAAACTTGTGGTTTCCCGCTACCATAATTGTACAATTTTCGCATCCGAGTATGGTTATGTCACTGCCGCGATTAAAGTTCTACATCCGATCGAAGACAAATAAGCTAATTCTAAGCGTCATTATAGTGATACAGGAAATTATATTTTGCTTCAATATATCTGTATAGAGAGTCTGTATTGACACTGAGGTTAAGCTGTGTGTGTATGTATGTGTGCATGCATGTAAATATATATTTATATACATATCTATATGTGTATATATATGTATATATATAAATATTATGTATTATATATGTATATGACTTGCAACCTTGCAAACATGTGAGTGTGTGTGTGCGTGCGTGCGTGCGTGTGTGTGTGTGTGTGTGTGTGTGTGTATGTGTGTGTGTGCGTGTGTGTGTGTGTGTGTGTGTGTGTGTGTGTTGGCCTTGCTCTGACCCTCCTCTTACAAGGGAGCACGTCGGAGCAACTGGTGGGTGCGGGAGGAACTGAGGATGGATTGGAATGGAAGACCATATTCATAGCATGCCGGAGCCCCTATCCCACTGACAGACCCGGTTCATTTATATAACTGGCATAATTCAGTAACACTACTATCATTCACTACATGGCAGGAGGAAGTGTATTTAGAGTAATCTAATATAGGGTTAAGACAGATAATGTATAGGACAGAATGCATACTGTATCAGTATTCCACAGGATACCAGAAAGAAGACTGTGATTGATTCATGTTGTTGTTTTTTCTGGTAGATGCAAGTTTTACAAATCCATATCGGGTTTATAAAAAGGTGAAAAGGTAATATATACGCCTACACAGGAATGCTCTATATAGAATCGTGTGGCTCTGCTGCAGTTATTGAGTTTATCTTATGGATATGCAGAGATTCAATTTTTTTTAATGATGTGGACAAAAATTGAAATTGTGAGTTTAGGAATGTTGGCGGATAGGAGAGAACGATTGTTTGTTCACAGATAGGCCAACTGATTTATATTCAAGAATTCTGTTTGAATCAAAGTGATGTTACTCCAATATACCTATGATTACAGCTAGGATAACGAAATATTTTACATTAAACTCAACTTATGGGAATAAATTTTTGAATATCTCATGTAGTTGTTTCCCAGTGGAATAGAATAAATATCCAATATATGGTAACTTAACGTACTTACGAACGTAACGTACGAACGGAATGCTATTATTTCTCTCAAAAATAATTTCATGATATTCAACAGTTTTAATGTAATTGGACATACACTTCATTCCAACAAAGAATGGAGTGCGAGCAAAAATAGGGATTAAGGTGGATACGCCATTAATCATGTAAACCGCAGGCCAAAAGGATAGCCCACTGCAACACCTCTACTTGATTATATAAATCTTCGAAAGTGAAAACACACTCTTTGCAATAAACCACTTCCCTCAAAAAAAAACATCAACTAATTATAAATTTTACATTCATTGTTATTCATGTGTTTCTATATCACTGTTATAATAATAATAATAATAATAATAACAATAATTTTAATGATGATAATAAAAGTATGACTGTGCATGGGTCAAGTTTGTTACTTTTGTCCATCACTGTATAAATGTGCTACATATTTTGTTTCAGGAAATTTCATGTCCACTTACCTCTTTGAATAATTCCTTTAAAAAAAAGACACCCCAACCCCATGGAATTCAGGAAACATAAAATCACACTGTATGCGTATATCACAATCCATAACTTGCAAGCTATACTTTGCGCCTCTTAAACTGTAGTTTAGTTCTTATATGACGAAAAACTATATTCTGAACCTAATATAAGAATAAAGGTGATCATATTCTAAGAATATAAATGCGCATAAATTTTTAATGTTTTATGTAATGAGAAAATGTTTGGTTAACAAACAGGATTTTCACAAAGCAAATGCCAAAATGCAATTTAAAATATCAGATTATAAATAAAAAATTGTGCTAAGTTTAATAAAAATGACCAAGAAGTTATTCGCCAGAGTTTATTGTCGGGCCAATCATGGCATACAAATGGGACATGAGCCTTAATTGCTCATCTGATTTCATTGTCTCCTTTTGTTTACAGAAACAGCCATTCCCTAATTATAATACAAAAGGAAATTATACATAAGGAGTTTTATCTGCATACTTTAACCAAAAAGGCTGATGTTCCACATAGCCACGGATGCCCTTATTCATGTTTGCGACAACAACTAATAAGGTTCACATCTTGTTATGTAAACAAATTCCTTGTCACGGTGAAACAAATACACTATACATATCATATACATGTCAGTTTATAGTGCATTTGGATGTTATATGTTGTACATTACATCCACCCGGCTAAAGTGAAGGAGAGTGATTTCTATATTAAACAGTCAACATATCCAATTACGCGGATTGGTCGAGAAAAAATGCAGCAGCCAGACTAAAACTTAATTCTCTAATTGTTAATTAAATTACTCTACTTTTCCCGAATTATCAGCTCTGTGCAAAAAGGAGTTTATGAAATATTAATCCAAAGTTAATGCAAAATTAAAGAGGATTTCCGACATTTGTAAATTTCCAGGGCATCGATTGTATATATCAGTGCAGATCTGCAATCTGTACTGATATGTACTTTCTTTTTCCATTAAATGCCTAGAAAACTGAGTCACAACTATACCCTCTTTTTCGAAGCTAAGAAGCACTTGACAAGATGGTGATGACTGTTGATAAGGTTTAAAGATTGGTAACGATAATTATATATAAATCCTACAATTAAAGACAAAAAGAAATAGGCTTCAAAGAGCCCATTTTTATTTAACTTGCTGATATGCACTGTGTAACTGTTACTGTGCAGATGGGCGAGCTTATTAACCCAATGATGCCGGGGAAAATGAACAAAAAATGGAGAAAATGCTGTGCCCACTTTCTATGTTTTTCGTGAAATGTCTGCCGATAGATGGCTCTGCTAGAGCCTGATTTGAAATGGCGGGAAAAACGTATTTTTCACTAGTGCTATGAAAATCGATGGTGTTATTTTTATCATAAACATTATAATTTATATAATGTTTTTTTAACATTAGTAACAGCAAAATAAGATTACGTAAAATATTTTGTAAATCAAAGAAACGGGTAAACGGGCGAGACGGACGGTACTCGTAACTGGCTCATTGGTGATTTAGTTCAAGTGTTGCCATCTATGCGTAAAAACAATCTAACAAGTACTCACGGTGGGCATAGCACGTGCGTACACGTCATACCCGGCACCAATGGGTTAAATGGTCAACAAAAAATATGCCAGATGGAAAATGGGATATTGATACATGAATCTACAGAAACATAGTTAGATTTGATTAGATTATTAGATGGGCATGCCATAACATATTGCCCAATAAACAACTTTACACATCTGATTATTTATTATGAATGCATTAGTTATAAATACATACACACGTATACTGGCAATTCTGCATAAAAAGGTAAACTGTGCTCCATCGATACTAACGACTTTGGAATCGTTGGATTACGTCTGATATATGCAGTGAAGTTCTCAATGTTTTAAACCACAGACACAGGTCACAATGGTAATGCAAGGAGGAGAGGTTAAGGAGGGCATCTACAAGACTAGGGAGAATAACATTCGTTAAAAGGCACGATGAAATGTACTATTTTTTATGCAAAGATAATTTAATATGCCAAAGGTACGGAGTTGCATACTATATATCCTTCTAATTGCACCCTAACTCCCACATAAGACTACTAGTATGTGCTGAGAAGGCAGAGGGCAGGCTAATCAACACATTACTTTCATGGTTTATAATTCTGAAAGATATATGTCATAGGCTTCCCTATAGATAATATAACTTGTCTTTTACGAGTCATAAGAATTGAGCTTACAGTCGATACGTTGGTTCATCATGAGAGCTGAGGTAAATGTAAACCAATTAGTTTGTTTTTTTTCATTGATCATACCAAATATAAGTTCGTTTAAGGATCAGATACAATGAGTGCCATATATACCTTCTCGTTTGTATGCTAGAAAATGGATGTGGGCTTTACTGACAAGCTGTGACATATTTCAGTGAGTATTCCAGAATTCTACTCAGACTTCTGGTTTAGCAGTATTCTTCCACGCAAATTGTCACTTACCTTCATAGCTGGATAACATTAGCAAGTTGGCTGGCTGTTGTGGGTGTCACATATGCTGCGCTAACGATAAATTCGAGGTATACTCAATAAGGATGCAGATGGGGCATGCCGATATAGGTATTTGGCGTGCCCATTTTATACTTTTTCTGGATTCTACGTTGCATACCAAAGTGAAAGTTTTGTATTTCAGGTGTGATCGTAAGGATTAAAGGCGATGAGGACCAGTTCACCACTGCATCCATTTAGCACCGTCATCTGTCTAGAAAACCTATTTGATACTAGCAGTGCATTTAAAAATTTCATCATCATGGTGTTGAAAAGATGCAAAATCGAAACTATTTTTTTTTTATTGTTTATTGACATAAGATGTAAATTAATAAATTCCACAAGTACATCATTGACAGGAAAGTAGAAGAGGGTTGTGATATCTTTTATTTATTTTCTTACGCTAAACTGAACATGTTGGGTACGAGAACTTGGAACAGCTGTCTCTGGAAGAACTGGTGAAGAGAGGTTGGTTCCACTGCAGACATGTCACGAACGACACATGTTTACCATAAAAGATTCACAAATGTATAATAAATGTATAACAAACTGGTTAAGATGATACCTGGGACTCACAATTTAATATATATATATATATATATATATATATATATATATATATATATATATATATATATATATATAATAGCAAAAAATAAGTATTGAAACTTAGGAGCCGAAATTTTGTAATTTCAAGCTGATTTTAATTTCTCTGCCTGAGTATGAATGATCCTTGTCTTGATGGATATTATACAGAGTTACCAATGACCGAAGATATGGAGCAGTTATAATTTTCTTTTGAAAATGTTGGCTGCATTCATTTTTCAAGTCAAGTCAAGGGAGGGCACTAAATCCACACCGCAACATTTTTTTTTTCCAGTACATATATTTCAAATTCTGGAAGGGGTCAATCATTCACATCTTGAGTGCAACATTTCCACATATTTCAAAGGAAATAGAAATAGAATCAAATCTGAGGTCTAGCTGTTAAGAATTCCATGTTTGTGAGAACAAGTGGCTGAAAGAAAGCAGCATACCTTCCCTCATAGGCAGGGATATCCCAATAAGTGACAATTTCTACCTAACCCCAAATTTTATCTTGGAATATTACTAAATCGACCATGGAGATTCCAAATCAAAGATGGGTCTCTTTCGCTTTGACCGGAAGTACCTTAATTTGATGACGTCATAAAACGCTAAATTTTCCGTTTTGATCCATTTTTACACGCCACCCTTGCATTCAATATCAACAATATATGTATTTTTGGATTCATTTAATGAAAACCTATCGATTCATATATATTTTTTCTATATTTACTGATATATCTATCAGTTTCAAAATGTTTTCCTGTGGTGACCAGTTAGTCACTGGTGCTGTGACATTCAAGGAAAGTACGGGAAAAGTGATTTAATGCTTTGATGACGTCATATCTAAAAATAGATATATCACTAAATATAGAAAAAATATATATGAATCGATAGGTTTTCATTAGCTGAATCCAAAAATGCATATATTGTTGATATTGAATGTACGGGTGGCGTGTACAAATGGATCAAAACGGAAAATTTAGCGTTTTATGACGTCATCAAATTAAGGTACTTCCGGTCAAAAGCGAAAGAGACCCATCTTTGATTTGAAATCTCCATGGTCGATTTAGTAATATTCCATGATAAAATTTGGGGTTAGGTAGAAGTTCAATCACTTATTGGGATTTCCCTGCCTATGCCCTCCCCTCTCCTTGCATGTTGCCCTCAGTGTGGTCCTTAGATTTTAAGCAGAGAACATTAAATTTCAAACCAAAGTATGCTAGGAATTTGAGGTATTAGAGGCAAGGTTTAATGCATTGGTGCTTTCCAAAGCTATTCCAATACTTATTTCGAACATATTTTATGTTTTATCATGTTTAGACGTCTTAAGAGGATGTATTTGTGTTTTGAAATTATCTCGTGGATCCCAAGTATGATCATAATTAAATATACTCTGATTGTTGACTTTCATTACTTTAACCTCATATATCATAAGTATTTATATTTATACTTCACTATTTACATTCACACGTACTATTCATACATATACATCACTGAACTACTTCACAGTTTCAAATCTTCCGGTCATTATGTCTTACCAGTAATAAAAAGACGGTTTGTGACCTCTCCACAAAAACTGCAATCTAATATTGATGATTACAATGAACACGAGGCATTGTCTGGGGAATCGAATTCTAGAACAATTGTTGAAACAAACAGTGAGTGAAACAATTCAAATGACTTTAATAAAGTCAGTTTGAGCTCACAGATTTAATCAATGAGTAGTATCCCAAATTTAACACTGCACCTTTTATGTTAAAACAGAAATAATCTATACCTTAAGGATACACATATGTTATAAGTGTATTTTGTCTCTCCGTAATAAATTTGAAAAAATGCATACAAAACTCACCACATACGAATGCCTTATATTTTTTAGAACAGAAGCACATCAGTGAAAGTGATGGGTTATATAACTTGTATTTTTCTTTGTTCTAGATAGATACTGGCAATGTGTATTCAGTTTATCGCTGACATGGCAGTTAAAGCCAACACATTTTGCCATCAGCATGTTAATGTTCTGTGTGCATGTTTTATTGGTGGTAGGTTCTTTCTCTTTGATTGACCTAATGAAAATCGCATTAGATCCCAAAGAAAACTTTGAATGAACATTCAACCCATTCGCCCGGGATTCATGTACTGCTCCCTGTATTTTTTTTTTTCTTTTGTGAATGTTGTTACATACAGGTGGCTCCACATGTGGTCAGCCAGCAAGGAGTCTATCAGTAGCTCTAGTGATCGATCCTGATTTCCCCATTCCTTGAATTGGCGGGAAAATGTGTTTTTCTATTTAATACAATCGAAATTGATACTGTTAATATTGTTATTGATGTTATGGTTATTAAATTGTTATTAAAAGCTTGGGGAAAAGGATAAACAGGTCTAATAACCGGGTCCTTGGTGACTAAGCACTTGTAGAGCCATCTATGTGTAATTAAAATAAATAACCTGAATTTCATTGGGCATGGCATGTATTCTTGCCATACGGGCCGATTGTGTTAATAAAACCGCCGAAATATTTTCTAATGATATGGCCTTTTTTAAGGCTTTTGTTGATTGGAGTGGAGATGAGCTTTCAACATCGGGGGGAAAATGTCACCCATGGGTCATCTGAGGACAGGTGAACAATTAATGATTGTTTCTTTCTTTCCTTTTTTAGAATGTCAGAGCTTAGTCACAGTTTATTTACACATTTTCAAAACAATTATATAAGACTGTAACATACAATACCTTCAAACCTAAAAGGACGTCCACTTACCTTCAGTGCAGTTCGAACAATAAAAATGGAGCAGCTAAGAAAAATCAAAATTGAGGTAGATGTAAATATGTTTAAAATCTGTTTGGAATCCATGGCTGTGTCCAAAAATGTTTCGAAATTAAACCATGTAGCCATAATCGGTCAGAGAAAAGGGTGGTGAAGTTTTAAGGGCTAGTGCCCTATTCGTGTTATTCGCAGTGTCTGTGAACCATACATTTGGCATATTACCTTGTCATTTGGGATAATAGCGTATGTCATCGCCCTTTTTTCAGTGTATCTTATCGATTTTACCCCCGCAATTTACCTAGTGTATGTCATCCACTACATCGTTTAAGAACTGTATTGTTGCTTTTGTTTCAGTTTATATCTGGAAAATATATGTGATCCATCAACACCAAGTTCATTAGTATCGGTGAATTACGAGTCTTCCAACAAATTCCCATACAAACATTCATGCGGTCTTATATACAGATCATACCCGTGAAAAATCTCTAATTCTTAATCTAATATATCATAGCCAACTATATCAAGGAAGAAGAAACGCCTATTACGGTTCATAACTATAATTGTTTTTAAGGTAGGTCACCGATAACGCAGAATATGGTAAAATGGAAGAAAAAGAAAATCTAACTATCAAATGGAACGGTTGAAAGCAGAAAATCCGTAATGGATTTCATTAATTGAACATTTTGTGTGCGTGCGTGTGTGTGTGTGCACTAGTAACTGATTAAAAAAAAAGATAGAAATCCAATGTCCTGTCAGCCAATCAGAAACTACTGATCCCGGCAAAACTTGGATTCTGGATTATATTTTACTACATATCAGTGTACTGTTTACATGTTTCTCTTTCTTTGTCTTTCTTTAGTTTAAAGGAGAGAGGGGGTATGTGTATGAGTATGTAGAGTGTATGTACATGTGTATGTACATGTAAATCATGTGCATATGTAAATACATGTGTAAACCTTTCCACATATGTTTTACAAATAAACTTTCATATGTACATATTCATGTACATCCTAATATAACCCAATATTTCTGTTTCCCGAGTCAAAATGATAATGGTTACCATTATGCATATTAATGACAATTTTAGTTAGGCCGAGTTTAAGTTGTAATTAACATGCATTCTGGGCCATTTTCTGACTCACAAAAACTATGATCCTTTTTGGCTCGTTAGTTTATTATACTGTAATAAACGAAATATATTAAATTGTATTACGATTAACATCTGCAAACATGCCGAAATATTTGCCATAAGATACGAGTTTTTATAAAATTTGATAAAACTTTTTTGTCTCACCTGTTGATGAGTCATCAACGAGGCTCGCTTTAGTTTCGATTACTCCGAATATTTGTTGTAATAATTTCGTTTGATTTAAATCATGGTAAAATATGAGTTATAAATATTTAGTATATATGCAAGGAAACTCGGTTTAAAAATTGTATCTTACCTGTCTCCGTAGTAGCAGCAGCAGATTCTGCGACAGCTGTGGAAGTTGCTGTAGAGAAAATATGTATATTCATACATGAATGTCTTTTAAGAAAATACCAACATGAACAAATGTACATTTTCCGTGCACGCAATAGCTGCGTCTCCCTGTTTTCCCCCTTTTTAATCTCTGATAAAATGAAAACTCTGTGTTACAGAAAATAAATATTCAGCTGGAAAGGTAAAATTTATAATGAAATCTTGCACATTCTGTACAGTATACATATATATATATATATATATATATATATATATATATATATATATATATATATATATATATATATATATATATATATATATATATATATATATATATATATATATATATATATATATATATATATATATATATATATATATGTAGTATATATGTATACATATACATATATGTATATATATAAAGTACACACATATTTACACATCTATGTATTTATCTATTTATAGAAAAAAAAAATATATATATATAAATATATATATATATATATATATATATATATATATATATATATATATATATATATGTATGTATGTATATATGGTATTGCCCTGTCTTACACCTTTTATAATTGTTTTTTTTTTCCATGTACAGCTTGACGGTTGCTGTCCCACCTTCGTATATATCTTTCAAGATTTTACAATATACCTCCTCAACTCCCTGTCTTCGAATAGCTTCTAGTACTGCTGGTATTTGTAGAGTAAAATGCCTTTTCGTAATCGATGTATTCCATACACAGGGGTTTCCTACATTCATGTAACTTTTCTCTTATTTGGGTGAGCGTGTGGAGGTGGTCTGTTGTTGAGAATCCGCCGTGGAAGCCTGCCTGTTCTCTAGGCTCGTTAGAATCCAAACTGTCAGAATTGCGAGTTGTGATGAAATTTATGAACAGTTTATAAGGAACTGAAAGGAGGAGTATGGATCGGTAGTTTTTTTAGATGCTTTCTATCTCCTTATGATGTATCAAAATAATTGATGCATTTTTCCAGGCTTTCGGAGTATTTCCACTGAGAAGGCATTTGTTTAAAAAATTGGCTAGTTTCACTGTTGCAGTTTCTCCCGCATCTGCTATAAGGTCTATGCTCATTCTGGCTTCACCAGCTGTTTTACCTATTTTCATACCTTTAAGCGTTCTCTTTATTTCTTCTGCTGTGATGCTAGGTACGGCTCTAGTTAT